TTTTAGCTTCAGTTTGCTTCGTTTCATATGCTTCTCACGTTAGATGGTATACTCCCCAAAAGGAAACACTGCAAAATTTGAAGCTTTGATTTACTTACGGTTTCATGGGGAATGAATGGAGAAGCAAGTTCCAGTTTTGGCTTTCGGGGGGGGGGGGTCTTGAACAACGGGAAAAAGATCGAGAGATTTGAAGTTTTTAACTTGTTCTGTTTTCTGGTGTTTACTTGGTGTTATCTATTCTTGACACAATGTTTTATAAACTTGAAAAAGAAAAGAATTTTTTTAAAAGAATGAAATTCTCTTTTAAATTGAGACAGAACTTATGCTTAGATCATCATAAAAATGAAATTATCTTTCTCTTACGAGGCAAGGCTTTATTAGCTTGCCAGTCCCTATGTCATTGTTCTGCAAAATTTCTGTCTATTAATCCCTCATATCTATATACTAAAAGTCTTATGAGAATTTGATTAAAATGGAGGACTAGATTCAGTGAAATATCTGCATATCTATTAACAAAACAGTGCTATGACCAGGGCCGATTCTTCTTGTAAATGTATGCTTTTTTGTTTAGCCACATTTGATAAGATAGGATAATCCATGTCTTCATTGGTTCTTGACAATGAGTTGCTTTGTGGCTTTACAGGACATTATCTAAGCGCGTGATTTTCTTCAATGTAGGAGAAGACTGATTTTTGGAGTTATAATAAGTACATTGTGTAAATAAAATGATTTGGTAGATCAACTGGCGGCTCCATGGGAGGCTTATTTCACTTTTTTGACTTCAACCAAGGCAACATGGACAGAAAAATACTTGCACACAAGAGACACGTTGGTGGTAAATATGTTTCTTTGTTTATTCATGGGAAAAGTTCTTTAGTATAACACTTTGGATTCAGAGGTTAGATATGTTTCGGACCTTCGGTCGTTACTTCCATTCCGGTTTTACAGACTTCAAAGTCAAGTTATAAGATTATTTCGTAATATCTTGATTGATTCTCACAGTAACAATGATGTTACGCAAAAATTAAGTTTATTTCTTAGCACTTGACTAGAGGCTTCCTGAAGTGCTATTTCTGGTTCAAGGTCATCTCAAGGAAGTAATGCAAGATTAAACTCATGTGATTTTTACCAGAAAAACGTTTTTCTTCGTGGTTGAGATAATCTACTAAGTTCTAAGCATTGCTAGGTCATTTCGTAGATTATCATCTTCTTAATTGCTGAGAGGATATGTAACAAGAAGGTCAATTCCTCCCAAAATGGAGAATGCCATGATAACTTCAATTTCCACAGTGTGATTCAGTAATGCAGTTGATCTTTCCGCTTTGCAGTTCTGGATGCTAAACGGAATAGCTTGGAGCTGCAACTAGAAACTTCTCAGACCAACTGTGCCGTAGATGGTCTGCCGGTAATCTTTCCAATCAAATTCCTTGTCATAGACATAAGATACATTGTAATTTTTTTTAAACATATGAGACTATGCTCCTTGTGTTACATGAATCTGGTCTAACGATAGTGTCTAACTGGATAGTCTTGAGAGCGACTGAAGAAGTTCTAGTTTGAGTTCGGTTTTCGTTTCCTTTTCCTGTATTCTAATATTTTAAGATTGTGAACCTTTGTTTTTGTTAAGATGTTTGATCATCTCAATGAAACACATGCATCTTTGATCATCCTTAATTAATCTCCCGTCTTAGTTTTGGCCAAACTGATTCTAGAACGAGTTTTAACTCAAACTGAAAATAAAATTATCATCTAAATTTTTCTTAGGCATCTAAATGCATTTCATGTGAATTTTCAGCATTCTCATCAAGTTGAAGAAGATTGGGCAGCAAAATACTATTGTCAAACTGAGGCTTCAATGAAGAAACTAATTAATGAGGAGATGTCCAGACAATCTAACACCAGACAAAATGCACCTAGTATTGTCGCTCGACTTATGGGGATGGATGCATTGCCATTAGATACAAAACCCGTCCTACTTCAATCAGTTGAGAAAAATAATGATAACCAGCGAGTCAAGTTTTGTAAGAGGGAAAAGAATGAAAAGGGCTCAGATGTACATTTGGCTTCTGACTCAACTTACTCGAAGACATTGGATGCCGACTCGGTTTATGGTAGTCAAGACAGGGATTCAGAGAGGTGGGGCACCAGCCAGAAGTATGGGAAGCCTAGGCCTCGTGAACACCCTCAAGAGGAAGAGTTGCAGAAGTTTAAGAAGGAATTTGAGGCATGGCAAGCCTCCAGGCTTAGGGGATGTTCAAAAGTTGCTGGTGTTGGAAGCATTTCTATGTCTCAAGAGAAACTTAGCAAGGAAAAGATGTCACTTTATGCAGATTCTGAAAGAACAAAGCATGAGAAGCCTTTGCAATCTAAGAGCTTTGCAGTTAAAGAAACTTTGCACGAAATGCGTTTGCATCATTACAGACATAAATCAGCAGACTTTATACCCGAGCAAAAAGAATCACGAAGACGATGCACAAGCAGGGATATTCAGCTACCTTCTATGATATGTTATAATGAGAAAGTTGATGCTGTCCCCACAAGAATAGTGATCTTAAAGCCTGGTCCTGATAGAATTTACGACCGTGAAGAATCATGTACCGGTTCCTCTGACACTTTTGACGAGAGAGCTAGTATAGAAGATTTCCTTGAGGAAGTAAAGGAACGACTAAAACTGGAACTGCAAGGTAAAAGTCTTATAAAGAGTTCTGTGGTTAGAGGAAGTGGAATCGAGACCCCTTTGAATGAAAAGCCATCCGATCCAGGGCAAATCGCAAAGCACATAGCAAAACAGGGCAAGAAAAACGTCAGTAGGGATCTTGAAATGAATTTAGTTCGATCAGAATCAACCAAATCATATAGAAGTTCAGTTCAGTTCAATGGACCAGGCTCCCCTGAGTTCATCAACAAAGATACAAGAAGGTTCTTGTCAGAGAGACTAAAGAATGTTCAAAAGCAAGAAACAGTGTTGGATATACCAGTAGTTTCCACCGGCAGCTCTATAGCATCCGTGTACCATAATGGAAGGGACAGGCTAAAGAAAATACAAGATATGCCAAAGTCCAGAAATGAGCCGAGCTACTGGGAAATTGTTAAAGATGAACAAGAAATGCAAACCAGATCTTTCAGGCATGTAGACGAGGTTGAACTGCTAAATAGAGAACCGTCCTCAAGAAATCTGGTTAGGTCTTTGTCAGCCCCCGTCTCGGGAACATCATTTGGAAAGCTGCTTTTAGAGGACCACCATATTATAACCGGTGTTCAGATCAGGAGGAAGCATGAAGGCATTGAGAATGTTCCCATCGGTATTGGGAAAAAGAAGAAAGAAAAGTTTAATTTGAAAGAGAAAGTTTCTAATATCAAGTATGGCTTGACACTTCGACGGAGGCTATTTGGCAGGAAGATTCAGTCAGTGGTGGAAACATATGGTGCAAATGATGGTCCTGCAAAAGACATCTTAAGTGGACCAACAGTTATAAACTTCAGCGAGAGCCATGTAAGGCCATGCATCCAGTTTCCAGTTATAAACTAAGAGGTCAGTTAGATACACTTCTCATTTTGTTTTGTGATTAATGTATCGTTATTGTCTTAGGAGAATTCAACTGAGGTGCCTCCCAGCCCGGCATCCGTTTGCAGCAACACAAATGAAGAATTTTGGAGGCATGTAGATTATCACAGCCCGATATCGACACCTGATGTGACTTTTGGAGAAGAAAATGCGGTTCAACAGGTTTTCAAAGAGATCAGTTCTAATTTGAATGGTAAGCAACTTCCCTTTAAAACAGAAAGCAACATGAACTGTATAAATTATGTTCTATGAAAAATTACAAAATGATTCAGTTTTCTGTTCTTTGATCGCATAGCTACATTACTCGCAGTGAATCTGACATATATTACAGTGTTGACATATATTCCGTTTTCATTCCGGTCCACTATCTCTACTGTCCACATGATGAACAATTGTGTTGATATTAATGCAATTTATGAAAATCTTTGTTTATTTATCAATTAACAGAGCTGCGGAGGCAACTTAATGAACTTGAGTCTGACGGGGCAGACGAAGTATCAATCGAACATGACTCTAGTGAATCTGAAATGGGAGATCTAGAGGACCAATCAGAAGGCTATGTCAGAGACCTGCTTGTTGCTTCTGGTTTGTTTGATGGATCATGTGACAAATCCTTATCTAGTCGGGATCCATTAGCGAAGCCTATCGGTGACTCGGTCTTTGAACAAGTGGAAGAATCATATAGAAAATCAGGCAAGGAGAACGATAGCTCTAGAAACAATGAGAACGAGAACGTAGATCGAAAGGTGTTACATGATTTGTCGAATGAAGCACTCTCAACAATACTAGGGCCACCGGTGGCCATGTCTCGGTTCAGGAGAAAGCTTCTCGGTTCCTCCACATTGCCACCTCCACGAGGAAGGAAGTTGTTGAATTATGTGTGGGAAATCATCCAAACCAATTTATATCCTCCAAGCGATAGTTGCCACTACTCGCTTGATAGCATGGTGGCCCGGGATTTACGTTCAACCCATTGGTCCGGCTTGATAGACTATGAAACCAATGTTTTGGAAAGAGAGGTGGCATGCCACATTATCGGAGACCTGGTTGAGGAAATTGTGAAAGACATGCATTCATGAGTTTTTGCCGGTAAAGATGAATATTAACAGGAGATGCCCAGTTCCATGTACATATATTTGCCAGGTTTGCGACATATAGGTTGAGTCCATCAGGTTTATACATACTGTACATGATTGCTTGTATTATTAGAATTTTATTCATAATGTAGAATAATGCTAATTAATGTAATTGGCTAATACTTGGCCACACGATTGTATTTTCTCGATACAATGAACGTTTTGGCGTTATAGCTGATCTGATGCCTTATGAGGGAGCAGTGATGGATGTATGTTTCAAGGTGGGCACTATCCATTTTGAAATCCGAATTTATTTTAGTTTATCGTCAAAATTTATTTTACTGATAGTGTTTACTTTGAAATTTTATTTGTATCATTTTCATATAAAAAATTATATTGTTGATATATACGTATTTATCGTAAAAAAATATTTTTAGATCCAAAATATTTCTAAATCCGTCGTGTGAGATAGAATGTTACTGGTTCTTGTTTCATTGTTGGGGTTTTTTTTAATCATTTTTTAATGTTATTTTTGGATGAGTAGGTCAGCAAATGTTCCTAGTTTACTACAAACAAAAAGTAGGTAAAAGATCCACTTCAAAAAAAAAAAAAGTAGGTAAAAGAGCAATGAGAGAGTAAAAGAAAGACTGAAACTAATCAAAATTCAAAGGAATAGGAAATTAAGAGCCCACTAGATTACACAATCATCATCCTTCGACTGTTTTTTTTTTGCAAATCTCTGTTAGGTACACCGAACAAAAATGTCTCTGTCCATGTGAGTATCCAAGAAAAACCAGAACATCAAAAGAAAGATGTAAGAACATTCAAAGGGAAACTAAGGTTGTCATGTCAAAGCATCTGGTCTACCGCTTATTCCATCTTGACAACCAAAAATTTAATTGGACGGTCGTTAAGGTGGGCAAATGCGAAAAAGTCTGTTAAGTTGGATGTAAGATATATGGGAATGAGTCAATGGGACAACTCGAATGCAGCTAAAATACTAATCTTTGACTCTCATCCATCGCCTGAATTAGTGGGGGATGCACATGCCACTCCTCCTAATACCGACAGATAACTATGATGTATGGTAAGAAGATACTTTGGTTTTAGAACCAGGGTATTTTGGTGGTTCTGACAGATAGACGGAATGTTATATATAGCAGTTAGCAATCATTTGTCTTTTAGTTTTACTTCTCTCTGCATGTTTCTTCCCTATAATACCGACAGCTAGCTGCATCAGCAACCCGTCAGTCCTATGATTTTATAAACGGTAAATTACATATTTAGTCACCCAATTATTGGTGAGGTTCTGTATTGATCACCTAACTTCTATTTTTCCAAAATCTTACATACGCTATATTTTGATTTTATTTTGATCATCCATCGTTAAAAAAATAATAATAATACCAACATATCATAGTAAGGTAATATCACGTTAATATTAAAAAATATCACGTCACACCAATAATTTTATTAAAATTTTAACAATAACGACCAAAACAAAACTAAAATATAACATTATATATAATTTTAAAAAATAATTGAATAATCAAAATGAAGTAACAAATAATTAGATTAATTTCTGTCCAATCTTCAGTTTCATCAATATTTATCAAATTCTGGTATACATATATACTACAATACAAAGAAAGTAATATTTTAATAAATACGATGAACACAAGCCACGAGGCGCATGTTGCTGCTACCATACGCATACAAGGCGCACTACGCACCAGGCTGCATTAGCCACCCCTACATTAAATAATTCTACAAGTGTGGACTGTAGCTTGTTTGTTTACACTTTATCTGTCGGTTTGTCCATTTCCTACTACCGCTACTACCACTTTTCAAAGTTTCTCTCTCTCTCTCCCAATTCTTCCGCAAGAGACAGAGAAAGAATTTAAGATAAAAGAGATTGGAGTGTACCGAGTTGTTGGATATGAGTGAAAATTAAGATGATGATAATGGAATGGAATCAGCAGCAAGAGAGTCAACCCCAAAACCAGAGTGAAGAAAATGGGAATGGGGTAATGCATGTCAAAGTGATGACCGATGAGCAGTTGGAGACTCTCCGCAAGCAGATTGCTGTTTATGCCTCCATCTGTGAGCAGCTGGTCGAGATGCACAAGAACCTCACCGCCCACCAAGACCTTACAGGTTTTCGCCTTCTATCCCACACATATATAGCTTCTCTTATGCCCTTGTTTCTATCTACCTTTTTGTTATCTACCTTGGATCTACATGAAACTTGTGAATTCCCCTCTGTTTCCCTCATCTTTTTGTCTATGATTGTTCCACTTTTTCAAGGTATGAGATTGGTTGAGGTGCTTGCTTTTATCTTTGTCCTGTACACAAATTAACACTGTTCTGGTTTCATTAGGGCGGTTCACTTGTCTTCTTTCTTGTTGTTGCAGAATAAGTTAAACACAGGACCAATTGATCATTGATGCTTATCTATTTTCCTATTATCAAGTACAGTAGATAATATCTAATAAACCCCACCTTTTCTTTGTTCGTAAGAAATTCACCTAACTTTAGGTGCCAGCGTTCTGAGAAAAAAGTGACAAAATCAGAAGAATGGTTTGTACAACAGTATAGGTGGAAGCCATTAATTCAAATACCCCACCACTCTCATTTATTTCACTAGTATGAACCTTTTCCAATGTTGACTAAATTTTGGATTTGCATTTGGAATTAGTGAGTATTCAAAGAGTACAATACCATACACTAACATAGTCATTATGTAAGACACGATGTTGGGTACTGAACAACTCTTCTCTGGGGCAGGTGGGAGTCTGGGAAATCTGTATTGTGACCCTTTAATGACACCCGGTTGGCACAAAATTAGTGCCAGACAGCGGTGGACACCGACAGCCGTGCAACTTCAGATTCTGGAACGCATATTCCATGAGGGGACTGGAACTCCAAGCAAGCAAAAGATCAAAGAGATAACTTCAGAACTAAGCCAACACGGCCAAATTTCGGAAACCAATGTGTATAACTGGTTTCAAAACAGACGAGCTAGGTCTAAAAGGAAGCAAGTGGTGGCTGCATCCTCCAACAACAACAACAACGCCGCTGAATCGGAGGTAGAAACCGAAGTCGAGTCACCAAAGACAAAGCCGCAGAACCTTCTGGTATCTCAGGCTGAACAAGATGTGTGCTTTCAGAACCCAGAAATAACATCTCAGCTTAATTACTTGGGCGGGAGTTACCACATTTATGACCAACATGCGTGGCAGGGTGAGTGAGATGTGACATAGCAAGGCTATTACATACACTGAACATGAGATGAAACGGTTAAGTTGGCTTTGGCTTTTGTATCTTTCCGATTACTTGTTAATATGATGAACTCCAGTAATGTGTTGGTTGTTGATGAAAGCGTGAGAAATGCTTGATTTTGTTACGAGTAAATGGATGCTTCTTCGGATATTGATTGGAAAGTTGAACTTCATTTTGCCTTGAAGGTTCCGACAATCTGTTTAAACTTGAAATCTCGTCCAATACTTGAAAGAATTTTTATAAAAAAAATTCTGTCAGTTTAAAACAAAGGCCAAATTTAGACTCCAACATACAACTCCTAAACCTAATCCAACTTGAAACAACCTTGAACTAATCATTTATAAAATTATAAATCAGAACGTCTCAAACATTTTTGAGACCTGATATGAAATCTAATCTCTTATATTTTTCTTGTCGATCGACTTAATTTAACAAAAAAATTCATTAAATCTAATCTCTTATATATGGGAAATCTATATATTTTGATGACGGAGATTAATCGATAATTTTACTTCGATTTTACAGGCAAAAATGTCAGAATAATGTAATGTGAGAAATTTTTTTCCTACAATAATGTGGTTCCAACATTATTTTTCCATTTAAGGTATTTTTAAATTCACACTTAAATTTATGTGGATTTCTCGACGTCTTCAGCGTATGCTCCACGTGATTCCCCGTAATGCATTATCCTGGCATTTTTGTCCTTTTTTTTACAGGTATATAGATAATTAATTAATTAATTAATACAGTAAAAAAATTAAAAGAAGGAAAAAAGAAAAAAGGAGATCTCTCTTTTTATTTTTATTTTTTCTTTAACCACCGCTCTAAGGTCTGGCTCCTCCCGCCACTACCACCCCTTCACCCATCGCAGCCGGGAGCTCACACTCGACGTATCATCGGACCTATTTACAGTCTGAAGAATTGATTTAATTGGTAACCGTTTAAGTTTGTCTCTCGTTTTTCAAGGTTTGAAAATCTCCATTTAAAAAAAAAACGGATGCGGAGGATCTCAATGGCTTACATACACGAGGGTGAATGGCCTCCTGGGTCAGTTGATATTCACATCGTTAAAAAGAGTCTTCGAAAGGCTGTATTTGTAGCTATTCTTCTACCATTTGCCTGCATTTTCCTCTCTTTCAAGGTATACTCGTCTATTTTAGTAGTAATATGTTCATATGTTTAGGAATCAATTCACTACCCCTTTTATTTTGTACTATGACTACGAGTTATTGGGGAAGTAAGGAATTGCCAATTATGAATTATGGGAACTTTAATTTTGTTGCATTTTCTAGTGTTAAAATGGGTTTTCTAGCAATATTCTGGAAATCAACTGCCTTATCTGGTTTTGGCATCTCATACATTGAGTGAATTTATGTAACAGGAAATTTCAGCCACTCTTATTTTGTGGAGAGTGCTGCTAAGTGGACATTTTGTCATATTATTATTATTGGTTTGGAACCCTGTTCACAAAGGTGAGAGTCTTTTCATCTGGTTGCCTTTCTTATCCGATGTGCTAATTTTTTTTTTTTCAATTCAGCAAGTAGAATGAGAATATGAGATTGATAGTTATAATCTTTTAATCCCTTTTCTCAAGTTTTTTTATTTTTAAGCTTTCAGAGTCTGTCATCATAATGCCAACCTTTGGAGTTCAGCTTGAAACTCATTATGCAAGGTAACATACTAAAACTTCTAATTCTCTGAGAATGAATGTTAAATACCTATGTAGCTTCATATTCTAAGGTATACCATGAATCATATGATTTTCCTGACTTGATTTTCAAACTTCCTCTTTTAATCATAACATAAGATCGTATGTAAGAAGGGGAAATGTCTGTTTTCACTCTATCATAATTGATGATCTATCTAGGGTGTTATTCAGTAATAGGGCTTAGTTGTTCTTCCATCCAATTTTAGCATTTCACATTGCACTGTCCTGGAGTTGCAAGTAGTTCTCAGGCATTTCTAGCTTTTCTTCAATAGACTTACTCATTCATCTTTCTTATGGTTAATCAATATTCATAAATAAATCCTTGGAAAATTTTTTGTTCACGAAGTTTTGCAAAATAGTAGTTATAAGACCATAACCAATGTTATTATTTCATCTTCTTTTGTTTGTTTACTTTGTTATAGTGGAAGAATCATCCGCAGATTTATTCCTGCCGGTGAGATTTTGAAACCTGTATTATTAGAATGTGTTACCCCAGTAACTTGTTACTGGAGCCTCTCTTTACTTGTGCGTGGGAAGGAAGAACTGGTGTTGGTGTTCAAGGTAAAACAACTGAATTTCATTCTTTGTTACTTCCTTTAGAAAATATGGGGGGGGGGGGATATATGCTGCTGCTTTATCTGAACAGGATAGAAAATCACTTACTGTGAGGATATCAAGTAATAAGATAATTGTGTAGGGAGTGTGTGTGTGTTTTCATATAGCTAATATAGTAGTTTCCAGTTTAATTGAGGCATGAAACTTGGTTGTGTGAAGGAGCTACACCCTCCGATGAAGATGTTGCTTCCTGTATGGAAGGCCTTGTGTGCTAGCATGGAGAACAAAGAAAATCCAGTCACATGTGGGGAAGGTGAAGATGGTTGATTTCAAGGCCGTGAAAGTACAAAAAGAATTATAATGAAACACATCAATTAGCAAAGAATACCCCAGGATTGCTTGCTGCAAGTGTAGAGAAAGAGATAGAGGAAAATGCATTCTCATCAGAGTTAAAACAAACTAGATGAGCATCGAGAGATTATCAGCAAGTTGTCTGTTGCAAAAGGAAACGAACAGTGGACGATATTTCTTCTCTAGTCAGCACCTAGAATTTTCTATAGAGGCAAGCAGTGGAAGAGGCAAACGATGGAAACTCACCGAAACCTATCTCTAGTCATCCCCCTTTGTTTCTCTCCCTTTCAAACATCAAGACAAAAAGTAATATAAGGTAAAGCAACCCCCATGGAACTTTCTAATCACTCCCACCATGTTTTACTCTTTTCTCCACTAACATTTCATTTTTCTCTCTTTTTTGTTGTTGATATACCAGTTAGTATGTAAAACATACTAAAAAAATAAAAAGACAAAGAACAAAAGAAATTGAAGAGGCGGCGCCTTTCTGTGCCTTAGTGCCTGGTGCGCCTTAGGCGCGCCTTGCTGCACTTCATTGAAATCGCCTCGCCTAGACCTAATTAGGTGTTTCACCCTTGCCTAGCCGTAGCGCCTAGGAGCGCCTCAGTTGCACCTTTTTAAACATTGGCCTGAGAATTACATTCTGCCGTTGAGGCCGGTACATGTATATATGGATGGAAAAATGATCGGTGTTATTTTGATTATATGCTCGGGTTATGAAATATTAAAGGTGTAGTTAGCATAATTGATTATCACACAGGTTAAATAAAGAGTCCCGAACCTTACGTTTTTAGGTACCTAAAATGCAAGGTACCTGCATGTTATCCACCTAAAACTTAATTGATATCGAAGTTTAACAGAACAGAAAAGGCAAACTTGAATTTGCAAGATAAACAAACAATGACATGGAAAATATTTGCAGCGATGAGTGTCCAACTTTTCCTTCAAAATATGATAAAAACGGATAATTTTGGCCCAACCTCCTTGAACTTACAAAAAAGAAGTAAAGCTCATGCAAAAGTCGTTGTTTGACCTCCGTCAATACAAAAAGAAGAGCAAAGGAGCTTAACTGCAAGAAGTCGTCGTTTAGCCTCCGTCAATATAAACAGAAGTGTAATGGAGCTTCATTGCAAGAAGTTTGACAGCAGACGGATCAGGATGAATGAGGTACAATTCCTGCATAGTTATTAAAAGACTCAAAGTCGTGGATCATAATACAAAAATATCAATGAATATCAGAAAGCAATGGATGGAACATGACGTGCATAATGGTGAAACTCCTGTTAAACATCTTTTCAGCTAAGAGGCATACATCTTTGAACAATGTTTTCCAATGCTTCAGGGTAGAACACCGTAACATCAAACTAGGCATACCAGCTCTTTCTCTGTATTCAAATAGGTGACCGGCTTCCCTTCACGGATAAGACCTCGTTTTTGACATATCAAATTAGTAGCGAAAATCCCTACTTCCACAAATTTGAACTTCAGAATGCTTTGACCTTGTGACAAAGTTCTTCTAGTTCTATTCTTTCAGCTGCAGCATGCTGCAAAAGAGAACAATAACTAGAGTTAATCATAGTGCAAAAAAATTCAATAGAATTTCAATAACTAGAGTTCTTCCGCGTATTTAATATTTGATCATATAATTTTTTTCTTGTTAGAAATATCACAAGGTAAATATTTTATCAGTGCTACCAATTTAAATTCAATTATTAAATAAAAAATAGTTGTAGACAAAATTCTAGGGATTAAATGTTAAAAGTTATAGAGTATAGGGACTAGAAGAAGAACAAACATAAGTAAACACTAGCATAGTAATTAGTAAGACGACACAAGATCTTCGTTTCTGGACCCTCTTCTTCAAAACTAACACCAATATATACCCTATATAATATTAATTTAATATAAAATAAATATCAACCAACGACAACAACCCTAATTTCCTTCCTCTCAAATTTCTTAAATTATCTCTCTTTCTGCAATCCAATCCAATCCAACCCCCCGCGTAAATGATCAGGTATTGAATCCAAAATCCATCCTTTTCTTCTTTTTGAATTCACTCTGTTTTGTTTTGCATTCCATAATTCCATTCAATATAAGCTTTTGTTTTGCATTCTGGCTTCACGTTCCTGTAACTCTCTCCTTTTCTGTTATTGATCGCCCTATTATTTTACGTTTAAATTTTCCTGCTTCATTCGTACCTTACCGATGTGATCTTTAAACTTGGCAATTCATTTTTCATTGCATGGTGATCTTTTTGTTGACTTCCTATCTTTATTGTTCTTTTGATGTTAACCGGAAGCTCTTATATAACTGAATTTGCCGGTAGGGTTTTCAAATTTTCCTTCTTTGTGTCATTTATAGCAAGTGAAACTTCTTTCAATTCTGATTTATGTATTAGAACCGCTTGAATTTATGCTACTTTCCAAATCTGTACGTTTTTCTTTCTAAATTTGATGGATATTTATTATTATTATTATTTTATGACTGCTGAGAATTCAGATTTGGTTCTGGGTTTTGTTTAGCATTTAACATCTGGAATCTATGAGTATTGA